GAACAACAAAACCTTTTTCAGGTGAGAAAGTCCCTGTGATTGAGTTATAGAATAAAATGTATAAAATTGGTGTGAACAATTCCTAGGCATCTATAGTAAATCAATCAAAGGTATAAACTAGATGTGAACAACCTACTTAATCAAGCTGGGAAGGAATTGAATGATTCAATCATTGGATTAAATCCAATGATAAAATGTATTGAGACTGGTTGAAAGAATTAGATACTCATTAGAACCATTCTGGCAGCTGCTTTGATAGCAAAGTCTTGGGAGCACTTTGAGAAGGCAGACCAGATATCAGAGGAAGCAAGAGTGGGGAGAATGAGCCCAAAGAGAGTGTAACACTCCCCTGAACCACCTCCTCCCCACCACTGACCATGTCACTGGAGAAAATGGACTAGTAATAAAGTAACAAATACCCAGTTAGCTAGGTGGCTCAATAGATAGAGAGCTGGACCTTGAGTAAGGAATTCTGCCTCAGACACTTACTAGCTGAGTGATCTTGGGAAAGTTGTTTAACCTCTCTGTGCCTCGGTTTCCTCATCTGTAAAATGGGGATAATAAAAGCACCTACTTTCCAAGGTTGTTTTGAGGATAAAATGATACAATGTCTGTAATTTACAAACATTAAAGTGCTACATAAATGCTAGTAATTGTTATTATTATCATCATCTATTAAATAATACATCTAGCCTGAAGCTGAGAAAGAACAAACTAGACAGAGAGAAGGTTCAGATTCAAGATGTTAAAAAGGATTCCATGATTTGAATCCCTACCAGGAGCAACACACACACCTTAGGGGAATCTCATGATACTCCACAAAAGGAGAAAAAGACTTTCATCCAACCAGGAACTGTCAGATATCTCTCTGGGTATCTGCATCGGCTCTTTAAGCGTGAACCCACTTTCCCCTGAACACTTAATGTAATTGTGAGAGAGTATGTCCCAGACTTTTTGGAAATTGTTTTAACCAATTGTTCTTAGTACATTACTTTAATAAAAATCAGTTTCTAAAAAATCTAGTTAACTCTGACTGAGAAACTGACATCAACTGATAATCGATGAGGAACACAGAAGTTGGGGTTTTTGAGTGACAGCAAAGAAAATGCATCAGACATTCGGTGACTCCTTATAAATTTGAGGTGAGAAGTATTTAACTACTCTCAAGGGCCCTGGCCTGCCAGTGTGAGTTAGAGTTGGAAAGTGGGCCCAGCAGGTAGCTACAAAAGGCAGGCCATTTTTAATGGAAATCTACACTATTGCTTATAAAAGATATCACCTCGATCTAATGTTACATAACATTGATTATCTCTTTCCCAAGATCTGACTAGAACTGAGTGATAAGGAGACATTATTATCTTTCTCCCCTTTCTCCTCCCTGCCACCCACCAACATGCAGAATGTGATGATATCTCAGTTGACAGTGCCAACGTTGCCAGTACTAAGAGGGGTAGGTAAGAATGCAACCTCCTCAAAGCTGGTTACCAGAGGATAGAAGGTTTGTTTATTTGTTTGTTTCGGCAACTTACAAAACTATCTACTGAGGCATAAAGAGACAGCAATCTGCTATGCGACATCTATTTTTATGCATATCTTATCCATAAAAATACAATAATGAATGTTTTGCAGTATAATAATTCTCAGTAATAATGTTCTACTACTTGTACAGAGCCTTGTTTCTTCCCCCATTTTTTTCAAGATAGCTTCTTTATATTCAAATAGTTTCCTTTAGTCAATAATAAAAAGAGAAAACGAATTGTTTAAAAATTACACAAAAAATAAGCACTAGCATTTATGTAAGCTCAGCTGGAAAATTCTGCCCCAAACATTTATTACTCATATACAAACATACATGCATACATACACACATACACATGTATATGTATATATATTTATATTTCAGTTACTCTTAATAATAGAGATTAGTGAAGGGATACTCATCAATTCAAGAATGGCTAAACAAGCTGTGGTATGTGAATGCAATGAAATATTATTGTGCTATAAGAAATGACAAGCAGGATGATTTCAGAAAAACCTGGAAAGACTTACATGAACTGATGCATAGCGAAGTGAACTGAACCAGGAGAATGTTGTACACAGTAAAAGTAATATTGTTTGATGAAGAACTGTGAATGACTTAGCTGTTCTCAGCAATACAACGATCCAAGACAATCCCCAAAGACTAATAATGAAGCAAACTAATTACCTCCAGAAAAAGAACTGACATTGTTTGAATATAGATTGAAGCATGCTATTTTTCATTTTTTTTCATTTTTTTCTCTTATTAGAGTCTTCTCATGCAAAATGACTAATATGGAAATGTTTTACATAATTGCATATGTATAACCTATATTTGATTGCTTACCTTCTCAGGGAGAGAGGGGACAGGGAACAGAGGAAGTGATAAATTTTGGAATTCAAGATTTTACATAAAAATGTTTTAAAAAGTAACAGAGATTACATATTGTCCCTAATAATTACAATGATAAATGTTAATAATAATAATTCCCATCAATATAGTACACTACAGTTTTTCAAATACCTTCATCCTATCAACATAAAGTTGCTTAAATTTTGGAAAACCTAAACTAGGTAGTGTCAATATTATTCTCTTCATTTTACAGGTGAGAAAATTAAACTCTAAGAAGTTAAATGATTTCTCTAGGAACACATTGCTATTAAGTGCTGAAATTGGAACTCAGACCCAGTTTTTCTAACTTGAAGTCCAATGCTCTTTCTAGTCCATCAAATAACATGCATAGATTGGCACAAAACTATATGTTGTTTTATCCTTTCCCTTCAGATTTATTAAGTAGTGAAATTTTACTAATTTCTATTTTCCATCTACATCCTTTTTTTGCTACTACAAAATTTTCCTGTTTGAAATTCTACTTCTCTTAGGCTATGCTTAAAAAAAAGAAAGAAAAGTCAAGACCACTAAATCCAAGGCATATGGATAAGCCTCATAGCCAAAGGAAATTCTTTGGTTTTTTTTTTTTGTTTGTTTGTTTTTTAATGAGGCAATAAGGGTTAAGTGACTTGCCCAGGGTCACACAGCTAGTAAGTGTTAAGTGTCTGAGGCCGAATTTGAGCTCAGGTCCTCCTGACTTCAAGGTTGGAGCTCTATCTACCGTGCCACCTAGCTGCCCCCAAAAGAAATTCTTAATGGCAGTTTCATTCAGATATTGATTCAACCACCATTTAATGCACTATAGTAGTATAATGGGGGAAGAGTTTGGGGGAAGGAGCAGGGAGAAAGGCCAGAATTTAGAGTTAAAAGACACAGCATCTACTTCTAGCTCTGTCATTTTCTAGGTGACTTTGGACATGTCATTTCATTGCTCAGAGCTTCTATTCCTTCATTAGTAAAAAGTAATGGGTGGAACTGGAAAGTAACAAATTTAAGCTTGAAGTATGATGTAATGGGAAAACTTCCTAACAATCAAACATGTCCAAAAATGTAGAGTCTTCTGGAGAGGTGGTGGTTCCCAAGTATTGGAGACCTTTCAAGCAGAGGCTGGTCAATCATTTGTTCGGTATACTGTAGAAGTGATTCTTGGTCAGGTATGAGTTAGATGGAGGCAGCAAGGTGGTATAGTGGACAGAGCACGCCAGCACCTTTGCCAAGAAAACCCCAAATGGAGTCACAAAGAGTTGGAAACAACTGAAACAACAAGAGGTTAGATAAGGTGGTGTCTCACATATCTCTCAACTCATATTCTGTTATTCTGTAAGACCATGCCTGTCTGACTCTTTTAACTTCAGGTCCCCTTTTCATTATAACACACTGCTTTTCATGGGCTGATTAAAGTGACCCACTTTACATCCTTGATTTCAATCAAAATGTCACCATTATAACAAACATAATCACATAATATTAGAAGTTGCCCATTACTAAAGGGAAATGGTCAAGAAGGAATTGCTACAGCAGGAAGAATTTTGGACTAACTCACCTCTCCGGTTCTTTCCTTCTGACACTGAGATGGTATTGTTGTAATATGCTGACAAAGGACCTTAAGGAGTCATGTCCCAAAAACATTCCATAGAGACAAATATCTGTCTCTAGAAAGAAAGTGCATAGCTCCTCAGTGTAGTATAATGAATAAAACTCTGGATTCTCAGTCAGGACTGGGAGTCAATGACCACCCTCATTTTACTCATCTGTAAAATAGAGATAATACCACTTTATTGCAAAGATTGTTGTGACGATCAAATTAGATAATACATGCAAAGTATTCTACAATCAATTATTTTTATTAATTTATTCCAGCATGTCTGTCTGTCTCCCCATTTCAGAATTGAGAGAAATGATTATTTCCTTCTTATATTGATGACCAATTATGGAATTAAGACTAAGGTTTTTCCCCTTCCTATTTCCTTATTCAGAAATCAGCCCCTGTAGGTTATCCAGCCAGTCTCTGAAGGGCAAGGCTGATAATAAGATGAAATATGCGTTAGAAGCACCCAACTGGGAAACTTAGATCTTGTCAAAAGGTAAAGAAATTCTAGTGTAAAGAAAGTGGTGAATTCCAACCCATTGTGTTTCATTCAGACAGGTCTGGATGGAAGTGGATTCCTCCTTTTGTCTAAATTGCTCTAGACAGGGGTTAGTCTGATACGGATTAATCTCTTTTTCCAAGGCTAAGTGATCAGAGCCATGTCCTCCAGATTCTCATTGGAATAAGCCCACCTCTCATTATAATATTCATTCTCTCATTAACCAATCAGAGTTGATTTCCACCTTCAGGATCACTCAATCTTCCAAGAGTAAATAAATGTTGAGTGAGTTCCATGAGGAGTCTTTTGGTTTGAGAAGCAGCCAAATGACCATCCTTTTATTAATTACTCACTAGCCATAATTAGTAAAATGACTAGTTACCCAGAAATTGCATCTCAGACTTTCTATACATCACAAAACATAGGACCATGAACATCAAGTATAAAATCTGAAATGTTTTCTTCTAGAATACTCATTAGTATAAAATCAAATAAAAACCCACCAAAATTTTCACTGGCTCAATCACTTTTCTTGTGATTACACCAGGGGTGACTAAGTGAAGAGTTTCTAAAATACACCATTTAATTAGTGGGAGTTTTTTCAGGTCATTTTTGGAAATTTCAATTTTATGTTTACCTGTGGGAAAAGTAAAAAGATCATAGAGGAATGAAAAATATTTAGGAAAGCAAATTTGTATAAGCTTAACAACACTTAAGGGTAAAGCCTACTTCAAATAAATATATTTTAATATTGTTGTTGTTGTTGTTCAGTCATTTTCTGGCACATCAACTCTTTGTGATCCCATTTGAGGTTTTCTTAGAAAAGACACTGCAGTGGTTTGCCATTTCCTTCTCCAGATTTTAATAATGGCTATATGCCAAATCAAATAAAAATTCACCCTTTTCTTTATTCATTTCCTCAAGTAGCTCACAATCAAAAATTGCCTAAAGATCTGGAAAGCAATTTACATATATTATCTCATTTGATCCTGACAACAGCACAAGGAGGCAAAGGCTATTAATGTCCCCAATTTTACAGATGAGGAAAGTGGGGCGTGGAGAATTTAAGGAAATTGCCTGGAGTTACACAGGTCATGAGTGCTAAGGTAGAATTTGAATCCAGGTCTTCCTGATTTCAAGACCAGCCTTCTCTCCAATAAGCCAGTCAGACAGAATAATGGAATAATTATTCTAAACAAAGTACAAAAGAGGTGGTTGGCCATAATGGAAATGAAACAAATACTAGGCCTACTCTTGTGAAATCAAACTACGAGCTATCTAGGTCATCTTTAGTAGGCCTCAGTCTCCTGACTATAAGGTCATTAGAATGTAGCCAGTTGGAAATGTGTTTGGTTGTGAATTGTTTCTTCTGTTCATTCTGGCTTCCCACACCACCCTCATAAGGGTTAACAGACTGGCAAGAGCAGCACAAGAAGGGTGAGAAGACTCCTGCCTCTCTCGTCACCACTCCAACTCGCCTTGTCCCTGAACACTCTATCATTCCTTTCAGAAGGTCCAAAAATAGCACCAAGAAATCATTAAGCGACACATTCATTCCATCTGGAATGTCACCTTTGAATGAAGGTGCTTCGATGCTTTCTTGACTGAGGCGCATGTATTATTTAATACATATAATGTCAGCTACTTGAAAGAAGGATGAGGATCAAGCCTCCTAAAACCCTCAGGTCCCTTCAGTCAAAATAAAGTGGAAATCTGGGGCAATGATGCAGGTAACAGGCAGAAGTGCTGGGATTCTGACTTGAATTATTTGGAGAGCTGCCTCATCTTGCAATCTTATTTTTGTCAACAAAGTTCAACAAAAGTTAGATAACAGTATTTGTTAAATAAGAATTACCAGTTTTACTTTTACACTCACTAGTCAACAATGCTGGGAGTTACTGGTTACAAATGGGGAGTGGGAGACAAGGTGGGAATAGGGTCATTCTTCTTTTAGCTTAAATAGAAGGCATGAGCCTGTGTGTAGGGCTCTACAACCTCACTCTGTTCAAGTGGGTAGAGTCACAGGATCAAAGATTTGGAGAGAGAAAGGATTTGAGAAGATATGGAGTCCAGCCTTCTCACTTCACAAATGTGGAAACTGAGGCCCAGAGAAGGTTAAGTAATTCGTTCAGGGTCACACAACTAGTGTCTGAGGGAGGATTCAAACTCAGGTCTTCCTTACTCCAAGTTTGGCACTCTAACCACTGTGACACCAAGCTGCGTTTCCCCCCACCACCGAGGGGGTGGAGTAGGGTGGGAGAATATTTCCTGAGAGTCCCTGTCTGACAACAGGCACACAGTTCCTACAGGTCCAGAACAGGTTTGATCACTTGGTAAGCCTAAGCATCGGGGTTTATGTTCCTATAAGAATAATCCCAGAGGCACCTGTTCATCTCCACTGAGGGATACATAGTGGTCTCAATATCACAGGATACCTAGTCCATTGTCAAAATCCTGATACCACTGGTTTCTGAAGCTGCAGACATAGATCCCTTTCCTAATGCTTTAGCCTCCACCTTGTTTGCTTTAAACCAGGGTTTTAAAAAATATATATTTTTATTTATTTTGTTAAATATTTCCCAATTACATGTAAATTTTTTCAACAATCATTTTTAAAAATTTTGAGTTCCAAATTCTTTTCCTCCTACCTACTTCCCTTCCTTGGAAAGGTAAACAATAAATCAATTATACAAGTGAAGTCAAACAAAATATAGTTCCATATTAGCCACGTTGCCAAAGAAAACCTTAACAAAAAAATAAAGCAAGAAAAATAAAGTTAAAAAAAGTATGCTTCAATCTGCATTCACAGTTCTTCACTTCTCTTTCTGGAGTTGGATAGGGACTCAATAAAGTTAAACTTTTTATATTCCTATGTGGGAAGATGATAACATGTAACTCCTAAGAACTTTGTCTTTATAATGGCACTTAGAAGCAGTCTACATTGACAAAGGGCATGAGTGTGAGTCGATTATGTTGGGATGATCTCAAAAAAAAAAGTGAAGGAGTGAGAAAGAGGGATGTACGAGGGAAAGGGGGAAGGAAGAGGTAGAATGAAAAAAATTTCCTCACATAAAAAAGTACATAAGAAAACTTTTCTAGTGAAAGGGGAGAAGAAAGGGTCATGGGTGAAGCTTGACCCTCTCTCTCATGTTAACTGGTTCAAAGAAGGAAGACTATATAAACACAATGAACTGGGTAAAGATATATATCTTAGTCAACAGGGAAATAGGGTGGGAAAGGGATAAGAAATAGCCTTGGAGGATGATAAGCTGGAAGGTAGATTAAGAGAGACAGTGGTTAGAAGAAAAACAGACTTTTGAGGAGGGACAGGACAAAAGCAGAGAGAGAAGGATAAATAGAAAAAAAAACCATACAGTTAGTAATCACAACTATGAATGCAAATGGGGTGAACTCACCCAAAAAACAGAATCAGATAGGAGAATGGTTTAGAAACTAGAATCTGACAATATGTTGCTTACAAGAAACACACTTAAAACATAAAGACACACACAGAGTTCATATAAAGTGCTGGAGCAGAATCCATTATGCTTCAGCTGAAGTAAAAAAGGGAGGATTCGCATTCATCATCTCAGACAAAGCAAAAGCAAAAATAGACCTAATTAAAAGAGATAATTGGGGAAACACATTTTGCTAGAAGTAACATAGACAATGAAGTGATATCAAAAATTTTTGCATATTTCTCTGATAAAGGTCTCATTTCACAAATACATATGGGACTAAGTAAAATTCATAAATATGAGCCATTCCTCAATTGATAAATGGTGAAAGGATATGAACAGGTAGTTTTCAGAAGAAATCAAAACTAGCTATGGTCACATAGTCGTATGAGGTAGCTAGGTGGTGCAGTGGATAGAGTGCTGGGCCTACAATCAGTAAGGCTTATCTTCCTGAATTCAAATCTGGCCTCACATATTTGACTCCAGGCCTATCACTCTATCCACTACACCACCTAGCTACCTAGGAATCATTTTTATTTGTGGATATTACATAACAAAAACTGATACTCTGTTTTCCTGGGGCAGAGATTTGACATTATTTTATTTAATTTATTTCCTTTCCACTCTCTTTCATCTAAAGAACTTTACATATCCTTAACTTGGAACAGGACACCCCACCACCACCACCACAACCAATGGCTTTCAATTAAATAATTGAAGGTCTAACATTTTCCCCCTTTCTATTTCAATTCAATCCATAGCACTGAAAAAATGTAGCCTTTCTGAACGTTCCCTCCCTTTAACTGTAGCATCGAATTATGAACCATTTGGCCAGTGGCACAAACAGTTACAATGAGGAAACAACTTATTCTTTGAAGGACTATACTTGTGCAGTATTGCTTGGCCTGGTCTCTTTTTACATTCCGGATATAGGATGTCTCAACATTGTTAGTTCATACTATATGGCCTCATATTTGTTCAACTGTTAGAAAAACCTACACCCAGTTTAGAAAAACCAAGAAAGTTCTGCTATTTCCAACTAGTCTCTCTAGGAATCACTTGTTGCCAAAACTTCATGTTACTCTACAAATGTCCTGAACCATTCATATATCTTCCAAGTAAATCCACAGCAATGAATTTTTAAAATCCAATGAGTACTTTTTTGGGCAGGGAAATCTGTGTATAAAGTATATTGTTCCAGCACTCTAAAAGATAAGTACTAAACTAAATCAAAATCAGATCAGCAAAAGTCAATTCAATAAACATTTATTAAGTACCCACTGTGTGCCAGCCACTGTGCTCAGCCTTGGGGCAGCAAAGACAAAATGAATGAACAGTAGATAGGTACCCTGGAAAGAATGTTGAAGTAAGAGTTAGATGGTCTAAGCTAATCTGGGGCAGATAGGTAGTTCATTGGATGGAGTACTAGACTTGGAAGACTTGAGTTGTTGACTACTAGAATCATGTGAATAAAAAAATAATCAATATTGTGTACTGTATAGCAATTAAAATAATTATTGTGTTCAAGATACTATGTAATCAAAAGCTAATGGATTTATGTAGAAAACTGCATAAATTAAAGACTTAACATATTGAAAATAAAATGCATTTTTTCTCCTCAAAATCTAATTCTAAGGGAGCGGGTGAAATTTTATTACAGAATAAAAAGATGGGGAAAAAACTAAAATGAAACTATGGTGGATTTTCCAAATATCTTTGAGTGAATGCTTCTTTTTATTATGACTTTTAGAAATGGCTTGGTAACGACGCTGCACATATTTCAATGCACATCTGTGGTCTGGACCTCTAATGTTTTGTGTCTAAAATTAGAACGCTCAGCTTGAAAGAGTGCCAAGGCAATCATGAAAAGGGCTATAGCCTAAAGGAGATCAGGCCCAGGATGGAATACAGACCAGGAAAGAAACTGTGGATGATGAGTATGGGTAAAGAAACCATCTGTTTAACTCCTGGCAGAAATACAATAAAGCTCAAAGTCTTACTCTGGACGAAGTATACAGTAGAAAACAAAATGAGAGCGTGACATTAGGAATAATAAAAAATCATACCTAGAATATTATGAACAGTGTTCATAATCAGAGCATATAAAAATCATACCTTACCTTTGTATAGCACTTAATAGTTTTTCAAAGGCAGGTAATATCATTCATTTTACAAATGG